GCCACCATGCACAGCTAATGTTTTGTATTTTTAGTAGAGATGGGGTTTCACCATGTTGACTGGGATGGTCTCGATCTCTTGACCTCGTGATCCACCCGCGTCGGCCTCCCAAAGTGCTGGGATTACAGGTTTGAGCCACCGCGCCCGGCCGATTTCATTATTTTTTATGTCTGCAGAGTATTCTACAATATAAATGTACACATTTTCTTTACCCAGTCCACCATTGATGGGCACCTAGGTTGATTCCATGTCTTTGCTATGGGGAATAGTGTGGTGATAAACATATGAGTGTATGGGTCTTTTTAGTACAAAGATCTATTTCCCTTTGGGTGTATACACCCTGATGGGATTGCCGGATTGAATGGTAACTCTCAAAGGTAGTTCTTTGAGAAATCTCCAAAGTGCTTTCCTACCAAGAGTGTATAGGTGTTTCCTTTTCTTTACAGCCTTGCCAGTATCTGCTTTTTTTTTTTTTTATGTTTTAATAATAGTCATTGTGACTGGTGTGAAATGTTATCTTGTGGTTTTGATTTGCATTTCTCTAATGATTGGTGATGATAAAGATGTTTTCAAGCTTCTTTGCAACTTTTATGTCTTCTTTTGAGAAGTGTCTGTTCATGTCCTTTGTCCATTTTTTTTATGGGGTTGTTTTCTGTTTGTTCATTTATTCAAGTTTCTTAGAGATTCTGGATGTTATATATACTTTTGTCAGATGCATAGTTTGCAAATATTTTCTCCCATTCTGTAGGTTTTCTGTTTACTCTGATGATTTCTTTTGCTGTGTAGATGCTCTTTAGTTTAATTAGCTCCTACTTGTCAATTTTTGATTTGGAGGCTTAGCTTTTTTTTTTTTTTTTTTGTCCAAGTATTTGTTGACAATGGTATTTCTTAGGCTTTCTTCTAGGACATTTACAGTTTGAGGTCTTACATTTAAATCTTTAATCCATCTTGAATTAACATGTATATATGGTGAAAGGTGAGGGCCCAGTTTCATTCTTCTGCATATGGCTAGCTGGCTGTCTCAGCACCATTTATTGAATAGGGAATCCTTGCCCCATTCCTTGTTTTTGTAAGCCTTGTCAAAGAACAGATGTTATAAGTGTGAAAATTTATTTCTGAGTTTTTTATTCTGTTCCATTAGTCTATGGGTCTGTTTTTGTACCATTACCATGCTGTTTTAGTTACAATTGCCTTATAATACAGTTTGAAGTTGGGTATTGTGATGCCTCCAGTTTCGTTCTTTTTGCTTAGAATTGCTTTAATTATTTGAGCTCTAAGTCCCATATGAAATTTAGAATACCATTTTTCTAATTCTGTCAAGAGTGACATTGGTAGTTTGATAGGAGTAGTGTTGCATTTGTAAATTGCTTTGGAGAGTATGGCTATTTTAATAATATTGACTCTTCCAATGCATGAGGCATGATAAGTTTTTCCACTAATTTGAGTCAACTCTGATTTCTTTCAGCAGTGTTTTTCAGTTCTTGTAGAACTCTTTTACCTCCTTGGGTGGCTAGATTCCTATTTCCTTTTCTTTGTGGCTTCGTAAATGTGATTGTGTTTTTTACTAGCCTCTCATCCTGGGTGTTTATTGGTATATAGAAACGCTACTGATTTTTGTACATTAATTTGTAACCTGAAAAACCTTACTAAAATTGTTTATCAGCTCTAGGAGTCTTTTGGTACATAATTTAGGGTTTTCTAGATATAGAGTCATATAATCAGTGAACAGAGATAATTTGATTTCTTCTCTTCTCTTTGGATGCTTTTTATTTCTTTCGTTTGATTGCCTTGGCTAGGACTTCCAGTACTATGTTGAATAACAGTGGTGAGAGTGGATGTCCTTGCCTTATTCTGGTTCTCAAAGGGAGTAGTTTCAGCTTTTGCCTGTTTAGCATGATGTTGTCTATGGGTTTGTCAGAGATGGCTCATTATTTTGAGGTACATTCCTTAGAGGCCTTGTTTGTTGAAAGTTTTAATTATGAAGAAATGTTGGATTTTATTGGAAGATTTTTCTGCATCTATTGAGATGATCATACGGTTTTACTTTTAATTCTGTTTAAGGAGTTAATCACATTTACTGATTTGTGTGTTGAATGAGCCTTCCATCCCATAAATAAAGCCCAGTTAATCATAGTGTATTAACTTTTTGATATGCTGCTGTATTCAATTTGCAAGTATTTTGTTGAGGATTTTTGAGATATTGGCATGAAGTTTTCTTTTTTCTGCTGTGTCTCTGCCAGATTTTGGTTTGAGGCTGATGCTAGCTTCACAGAATGAGTTAGGGAAGAGCCCCTCTTCCTTAATTTTTTGGAACAGGTTCAGTAGGATTGGTACCAGTTCTTATTTGTACATCTGATAGAATTCAGCTGTGAATCTATCTGGTCCAGGGATTTTTTTGGTTGGTAGGTATTTTATTACTGAATCAATATGTTCTATGTGCCAATGAGAAGGATGTATATTCTGTGATCATTGGGTGTTCTGTAGATGTCTATTAGGCCCAATTGACCAAGTATTGAGTTTAAGTCCAGAATTTTTTTTAAACCTATTACTTTGCTTTGTAGACATATGGGCCCCAACAGTGAACAACTATTCTTTCATACTAAGTTCTTTGCTTTTCCATGGGAGGTGTTCTGATGTATCTATTCAAGTTGAAAGGAGATCTTTATGATTTATTTGATGAAATATTGAGTCTCCATGACCACTCTTATGAAAAGGATAGGCCTTGACATGTATGTGTATTACAGATATAATTTGATCATTTTCAAAATCGAACCATCTTCTTTAAGGTAGGTTTATACCACCATCCCAAGAATACAACTATGTGTAGAAAATAATTGCAAAACGGAAGTGGATTTTTTCCTCTTAAAATTAAGCCCGACTTAACTTAGTAATTAAAAAAACCCATGAAAATACTATTGTCTAAGAATAAATGCTTATATGTTCATACACAATTATATACAGGAAAGAGTTGGTGTCTATACTCCATAATTATCAATAAGAGAGGCCTATGTTATTTTCTCTAATTTGTCTGCTTTCTTTAAATAATGGCTTCAACCTTACAGTCCAGACTACATCAAATTTTCTTAATTGGAGTGAACAAAGTTCAAACACAAATAATTTCCAACTACTGATACCCACTGTTACATTTCTCAAGTTCAAAACAAAAATATGTCAGGAATTAAAGTTCAATAAATAGTATCTAATTATTAGTTATTGAATGTTTAAGATCATATGATTCCATACATTTTGTTATTCATGTCTACTAACTTTAGATTTTTAAAGTTTAAAATAGAAAATGTAATCTTACATACTTTAAGCTTTAATTAAGGACAGAATATTCAGAAGTGTCTAACACCTGCTTTATAATAAGTACCGTATTATTTCAAATGCCAGATGGACCAATTAAAATATTCTTTCAGATGATGCAAAATCTTATGATGTGGGTTTTTTTAATCCAAATTTAAATATACACTATAAGAATGTAAAATTATCTAAGTACATGTTAACAAAATAATTTCATTTTTACCATGAAGGAAATGCAAATAACTAAGCCTTTTAAAATTTTCACTCCTCCATGATTCCCTCCCCAATCTTATCTTTTAATTTCACTAATGCTTTAATATCCAAGCTCTTGGTTCCCCATGGTTACTGCTGCTAGAAACAGCTAATATTTTCCATGGAAAATGACCACCCGAAAACAAAGGGAGATACAGGCTTTTAATCTACAATTAACCAGAAACTAAAATTGATGAAAGATAAAAGGTATGGAGAAATACAGACAAAAATTTGTATATAGACATACTTTATAAAACCTATAACCTCAGCCAGCTCATATGTTTATGCCAACTCTTTAGATACCATTTATTTCATTCATGTAGTAGGAACCCTATCAGTGGCTCCTATCTGGAATATCCATCTAGTACATATTTTGCACACTCTGAAGGTGTAATTTTGGTGGAGCCTTCTCAAAATCGTTATTCAGAGCCCCTAACATCTTTTTTACACCCATATTTGTAAATAGTTGATTATGCATAAAGTGATTGGGTTCCCTCTGTCTGGTCACTGATTCAGAAAATAATTTCACAATTTCATTATCATCAGGCAAAGATAACAGCTTTATCCTCTGTTTTGGTGATTTGTTTATGTCCAGTTAATAGCATTTAGTGCCTTCCTTTCAATTTTCTTGTCATACATCTTTCTTCTCCAATAACCTCTAAAGTCCTCTGGGGGTGAGGCCTGGTGTCATTCATCTTTGTATCTCTGACGCCTGGCACCATGCCTAGAACATTAAATGTTTCCAAGCATTTGGCTATGGGCTATGGCGTATGTGGCTCTTAGTCTCATTAGTATGTACGGCTCTATGTTTTCACACCGACAAACATAATTTCCAGCATCACGGAGGGCAACCTTGGTATGGAGCACCAGAGCTACTGCCTAACCCCATGGCTTGGGGAAACTCACCCTACTATTCAGCAGTGAGCCAGAAAGACCAAATATTGGTGGACTCATGTTTAAACAAAGCCTTTTGACTTCTGTATACAACAGAAGCAGCCTGTCAGTTGAGACGTTATCAGGTTAACACAGTACTGTCTAGACCCTGTGTTCTGTTTCTTCTTTCTACATAAAACTTTTCATTGAGGTTCTTTAAACACATACTGTTTGCCTATATTTGGTTTGAATATATCTATTCACCTTTATATTCAAAACAACCTGAGATCACAACCTGAAAGTTATAAATATCATGTTTGCAGACTCATAGGTATCAAATTTAATTTTGAAGCATCCCGTATGTTTTAAAGTCTTTGAAGTCTGGAAAGCTTGGGAGACTACAACTGAACAACTGTTCATAGCCTTCCTGACATTAGGAACAGAGTGATCGAATCCTGTATCTAATAGTCTAAAGCTACAGCCAAATAGGATGCTCAATGGCATATTTAGTTACAGAAGCCAATATTTCCCCAAAGAGATGGGAGAAAAGGAGATCAGTTTTTAAACAAGATCTTAATTAGGAAGTTAGTTTTTCCAACAAAAGATTCAGGACCGATTGGGGAATGAACAGTGCAGTTTACGGACCATAGCACTGAATTCCAAGTTTAGAGAAAACAAGAAACTCCATTTTCTCCTAAATACAGAGACAAATCATTCTGATTAACAGTAAGTCAATCAGACAGCCAGAATTTTCCTATCAGTTAGAAATAAGAAAGGGCTACGTGCCAAAACATGGATAAAATTTCAGGACTCATAATGAACAATAAGAAACTGTATGAACAAAAATAAAATTTGCGAAAAACGGGTACGTGTGTGTGTGTGTGTGTGTGTGTGTGTGTGTGTGTGTGTGAGAGAGAGAGAGAGAGAGAGAGAGAAAGAGAGAGAGAGAGGGAGAGAGAGAAAGAGAGAGAGAGAAAGCCAGGATATCACTTGTTATACACTTGTCCCCACAGAAACAGAAGAGCAATATAAACCAAGAGAATAAATACAAGTTATTCAGAAACACTTCAAGAGTTCATTAGTGTGAAGGCATAGAAGTTAATATATCGCTTATAAAGAATTTAGGCCAGGCACAGTGGCTCACATCTGTGATACCGCACTTTGGGAGGCCGAGGGGGGCGGATCTGAAGATCGAGACCATCCTGGCTAACACGGTGAAACTCTGCCCCGTTTCTACTAAAAAATACAACAAATTAGCCAGGTGTAGTGGCTTGCACCCATAGTCCCAGCTACTCAGGAGGCTGAGGCAGAAGAATCACTTGAACCTGGGAGGCGGTGGTTGCAGTGAGCCAAGATTGCACCACTGCACTCCACTCCAGCCCAGTGACAGAGTGAGACTTCGTCTCAAAAAAAAAAGTTTATACACACACACACCCACCCACCCACACACACACACACACACACACACACACACACAATTTGTTTTCTTTAATGAAAATATGCTTTGCTGTTATCAACCTAAATGCCAGACTGGATAAAGAAAATGTGGTACTTATACACATGAAAACTATGCAGCCACATTAAAGAATGAGATCACGTCCTTTGCAGCAACATGGCTGGAGTTGGGGGGCATTATCCTAAGCAAACGAATGCAGTAACAGAAATCCAAATACTAAATGTTCTCACTTATAAGTGGGAGCTAAACACTGAATACCCATGGGCACAAAGAAGGGTACAACAGACACCAGGGCCTGCCTGAGGATGAAGGAAGGGAGGAGGATGAGGATAGAAAAACTGCCCATTGGGTACCATGCTAATTACCTGGGTGATGAAAAAATCTGTGCTCCAAACCACCATGATATTGCAATTTGCCTGTATAACAAACCTGCACATGTGCTCCTGAATCGAAAACAATGTTAAAACATTTAAAAATTTTACGTTGCTGTTGACTTACAACCCTCAACTAAAGAAGCCCTTCAATAATTTTTACAGAAAATGGTTCATACTGAGTGGACATTCCCCAACTAACGTAGATGGGAAAAGTTTACAAATCTGGATTCAGCACTTTTGGGAATCTTGTTTTACTAAAACATAATTATTGGGAGTACTCTGCATTATACCATGTTCTGTGGAGTAGGAAGACTTAAAAACCTGCAGCACCTTGTTTCTATAGCTGGCAGTACGGGGAAGATACACCTAAGAGTGGTTTAGATGCATGCTCTTCTTCATTCGTCAGTGACCTGGTTATTCCAGCAAATCTGTTGAGCCTTAAAAGGTTTTGTTAAAATATAACCCAATGAGCAAATAGAACTTAATTTTCTACTGAAGGTGATATATTTATGTTCCTCAATATTGTATGTACTGGAATACATGATGTGTGAGGCTCCTTCAACGTCTAAATTTTTATAGTATATGCACATTATATTTATATGTGTGTGTGTATATATATATATATATAGTGTGTGTGTGTGTGTGTGTGTTTGTGTGTGTGTGTCTGAGTTTCAAAATTACCCCCAGAGACAGAAGCTCCAGCAATAATGACAAATCTCTCAGTGACTTTGAAAGAGGTCACTCTAAGATGTACTGACAACCACAATGCTAAGAATAATCAGCATAACTTTTAAAATCAGTTTTATTTATTGAAGCTAGAATCAATGCCTCAGAAAAAAAAAAACAACTAATTTATTTTTTCAAATACGCATGAGGAATTTAGAAACTTCTCCTCCTGCTGAAATTAGTCAATATAAAAGAAAAAACCCTAAACTTTCTGCTATGGAATTATTTTCTATAAGATTAGGATTTATATTGATAGAAATTCAAGGAAATTTCTTCCTTATATGTTGTTCTTGCATCTTAGAGGGCCATTCATAAACCATTCTTCTTCCAAATTTATCAACTATACTGTCTGACAGCCTCAAGTTTTCACTTTTTGTACATTTCAGTGTATTTATAAGCAGGCATGTATTTAGCATCAACTATGGGCAAGGCTCTGTTCTAATAAAAATGATAGCTATGTAGATATTTGATACACAGCACTTTCCTAAAGAAGCTTAAAACATGTTTATGATATTAAATTATATAAACAATGTAATAATATGTGCAACGTACACATCATCAATGTATTCATGCATATACATATGCTATTAAAATCACAAAACTATGTGTTATAAGCACCAAATAAGTAGAATAATCACTAATGCAATGTAGTGTGTCAGATTTTTTCACCATGAAGTAAAGTGGTTAGGAAAAGCTTTACAAACAATGTGGGAATTCAATTGTGTGTTGTATTAGTCCATTTTTACACTGCTATAAAGATCCTACCTGAGACTGGGTAATATACAAACAAAGGAGGTTTAATTGGCTCACAGTTCTCCACAGCTGGAGAGGCCTCAGGAAACTTACAATTATAACGGAAAGGGAAGCAGGCATGCCCTACATGGTGGCAGGCCAGAGACAGAATAAGAGCAACAGCAGGGAAATCTGCTTTATAAAATGATCAGCTGTCATGAGAACTCACTCACTATCAAGAGAACAGCATGAGGGAAACCACCTCCATGATCCAGTCAGTAGCCTCCCACCTCTTTCCTCCCTAGACAAATGGACATTATGGGGATTATAATTAGAGATGAGATTTGGGTGGAGACACAGAGCCAAACTACATCATGTGTTAAAACTCAATAAACTTCAGATAAATTTAGAAATTTACCAGATCTAAAATGCACCATAATAAATAGGCTAATATATAGTGCCTAAGATACTGTGAAGTGAGAAGAATAGACTAGACTTGTGGGAAAGGGAAGAACTGAAATATCCACTTGGTGAGGTAGGTTAAACTCAGATGCTGATGAGTTTCTTGTTTCCAGATAAGGAATCTTTGACTGTATTATTTTATAGCAAATTAGAAGCCAGGGCAGGTTTTTTCCAAAATAAATTATTTTGAATAAAATTTTATGCAGTTTAGTCATATGTGAATTCATGTTAGAGTGCTAGAGAGAAAGTAGAGATAAAACACTTCCTCAGGGACATTTTCAAACTCTGTGCCTGAAGTGATTGAGAACCTGATCTATATATTATTGGAACAGTGGGGAATGAACACTTTCAAAAGATGATTTTTGAAGCAGGTCTTGATAAAGGATTTGTTGTGATGGGGCATATAGCATAGAATAATTCAGGCTTAATCCTGGGTAATTGAAAGGCGTTTGTATCATTAGTAGAGAAAAGAATATTTGTTTTGGGAAGTAAGGATACCTGCATTTTACAAGTTGAATTTGGCATAATGGTGATCATCCAAATGGACATGCTTATTGAAATATGAACACATAAAACTTGAGATATATATGGATAACAATGCTTGAACAAACAAGAAGGAAATTTGCTAATGAGACATCATTTGTGATGATCAAGATTGCAGGCTCCATGGATGAGTGAAAAAACAAGGCAGATTTGGGGCAACGAGAAGGGAGAGGGAGGTAAGTAAGTCACGTGTATTTAAGAAACTTAACAATGAAGAGAAGAAGAAATAATAAAGATATGGGGAAGCTAAGTTTTCTTTTCTTCACAAAATACTTTATATGTAGCCAAGTTGTTATTCATGAGAGAAGACAAAATTCATTCTCATATATGTGATGCCTTAGAATATCTGTCACATAGATAACTTTGCTGAATATATCAATTGAAATTTCAGAACAAATAAAGATTACCTCAAATCCAGGTTTTAAGAATACAGAAATAGCAGAAAAAAAACCACTCATTAAGTACTGACACTTTTTAAACATATATAAATATGTGTAAGAAAATATATATTTATGTATATATATGTGTGTGTATATATATTAATATATATGCTATATATAAATATGTTTTACATATTATATTTGTGGGTATGTTGTAGCAATACCTCAAGAACTTTTAAAAGATATGAAAAATTAATCAAAAATTAAATAACATCTAACACCATGTGAGTATAAGAAGACTATAAGAAATAATATAGTATTAGAATTTTTTAAAGTTTTTTAAAAATATGCATCAGAAATATTCTTGAACTGTAAATATATTACTATTTGGACCTCAAGAGCCATTCAACATAGCTTCCTAAGTTAACCTGCCTGCCCTTAAAGGAAGCTCTTCTAGAGAGAGTTGTCAGGCTCTTAGCAGAAGAGCCAATTTCTTTGAGAGAATGGACATGGTGAGAAAGCTCAGATGTAGGCAATGGGGAGAAAGGCAGCAAACCACATTGCCATGTAAGTACCTATGCAACAATCTTGCATGTTCTTCACATGTATCCCAAAACCTAAAACACAACAAAATATATATATATAAAATAAAGATAAAATAAAATAAAAGAATGAAGACAAAATCGAACAATTCGAGGTGTGCACTACAGTTTGCTCTGATTAGACATTCAACTACAGCCCTACAAAATAGTAGGATCTCAGTTAATAACTTTTAAATGGAATTAAAGAACTGGGCCTAAGGCAGTCACACTTTACAATGTTTTTGCAAATGTATCATGAAATTAGTTCTTTCTTTTATATAATTAATTAAAATTTAAAAATTATCTTTGTAAGGGTTTTATTTGGTGATGTGGCTACACCACA